TAATACATTTAAATGTTGAGTCTCCACCCCAAGGTGAACATGGGTTGTATGTAACATACATGTTTGTTCAGTATGCCTGCATCAGGACTACCTTCATGAATATACAGCTCCTCCTGTAACTTGTTAAAAATGTATGTTTAGCCAACCTGTTCAGCATAAAGATTCTACCCAACTCCTCCTTCAAAGTACCTGTCTCTAGTCTTTGAACGACGGCTGTGTTTCTCAGCTTGTAGGATGGCCACCTTGTAGGCTACAACCCCTTAGAAGAAATAAAGTCTCCTTTCTAAATGTTTTAAGACTATGCCTTTTTTTTTTTTGAGTTGGAATCTCACTCTATCGCCCAGGCTGGAAGCAGTAGCACACTCACGGCCACCCCAGCATCGACCTGCTAGGCTCTGGCGACCCTTCTGCCTCAGTCTTCCAAGTAGCCAGAATTACAGGCACGCGCTATCATACCTGGCTAAATTTTTTTTATGTAGTGTAGAGACAAGGTATCGCCAAGTTGCCTGGACTGGTCTCGAACGTGCAGACTCAGGCAATCCACTCGCCTCAGCCTCCCAAAGTGCTGGAATTACAGGCTGAGCCACCAAGCCTGACCACTGTTTTTTTTTTTTTTTAAGTTAACAGGTTTTAAGAGAAAAAAATGTTTCTTAGGGGTTTTTTTTCTTTACGTCTAAGTTACATACTTACACACACTCCAATTCATCACAGAGTCATGATTTTTTTTTTCCCATTTCTTTCACTTTGCACTAAGGTATCTGAGGGCAAACATTGTGCTAGGTTCACCTTTAAATTTCCAATGCCTATGAAAGGACAGACTGAGAGTGGGAAGCCATATTTCATCTTGTTCTTAAACCCTGACACAATGATGAGAAAGTAGAAGCTATGCTTTTGGAGAAATGCACACTTTAGGTATAATTAACTTTACTGACTTTGTCTTTTCAGAAACAGACTTCCAGGTATCAGAGCTATCTCATAGTGGCAATCAAGCTTGCCTAGAGTAAAGGGAATTTACAAGGCCTAAGATATCATGCATTGGGCAAGGACTGTAAAAGTCATGAAACTTGTAATTACAAAAGTTATAACCGCTCAGAGGGGGAGGAGGCGGGGATTCGATCTTCCAGTAAATTGGACACTATCTACAGGGAAGTCAAGGACCCACCCAAAGCTACCCACTGGGAATGCCTACGAGATAAGGGGAGGTACACCCTCCATTAGGTCTAAGGAATGTCGTTTGGGAAGGTGCAGGAGAATTAGAATCCTTGTCACACCCTTCTCTAGGGTCTGTGATAATGTGGGCGGACATTAATGGGTCTCTGTGTCACAGGTTCTCCAAGACATCCACAGGTGGTCGATAAGGAAGTCACAGCAGTCACGTGCAACATCTCCAAGAGAAGGATTTAAGCCAGGACTCTGGGGGGCTACACCGCCACACTCACCTAGAGTGTAGGCCCACTCCCTGTCTGTGGGGGGTGAACTTTTCTTAAATAAATCTTGTCTTCTCTCACCTCTGAGTGTTGCAATTCTTTGCAATTTACTCAGATCTCTGGGTTTGCGGCGCGCACCTCCCTGGCAGTGCTGCGCGCCTCCCTGCGCCTCTCCACCCTCACCCGATCCATCCATACCCTAACAGCCTACTGTAGCATCAAATAAATATTTATTGAATAAATGTACATTTGACACTCAATGTTCATTTATTCACATGTCTTCAAATGGGACATGTGAATTCACATTGGATCCAACACTGTCTTTATTATCTCTCTACTAAGATACCTTTTGCCTCAAGTATGAAAACCTATTTGCTGATCTCTCAGAGAGGCTAGATCAGGACCCCTAAGAGTTCAGGTTCTACTTGCTGACCACCTTTTCAGGGCTGTATTAGTTTTCTGTTGTTGTGGGTGGTACTGTGAAATACATATTTGGTCTTCATCCCTGATGATTCCTGGCATACAACTCTTTATTTTTTTGAGTTGGAGTCTCACTCTGTTACCCAGGGGCTGGAATGCAATGGCACGCTCATAGCCACTGCAAGCTTGATCTGCTGGGCTCAGGCGATCCCTCCACACCAGCCTTTCAAGTCGCTGGAATTACAAGCGCATGCCACCACACCTGGCTAATTTTTAAAAATTATTTATTGTAGAGACCAAGTTGCTCAGGCTGGTCTCAAACCTCTGGGCACAGGCAATCCTCTTGCCTCTCTGCTTCCCAAAGCACGGGATTATAGGCTTGAGCCACCATGGCATACAACTCCTTTTATTTTTTATTTTTTTGAGTTAGAGTCTCACTCTTGTCACCCAAGCTAGAGTGCAGTGGCACGCTCACAGCCACTGCAACCTTGACCTGCTGAACTTAGGCGATTCTCCCACCTCAACCTTCCAAGTAGCTGGAACTACAGATGTACACCACCACACCTGGCTAGTTTCTTTTTGTGTGTGTGTACGTGTGATTTATTGTAAAGATGAGGTCTCACCAAATTGTCCAGGCAGAACTTGAACCTCCGGACTCAGGCAATCTTTTTGTCTTGGCCTCCCAAAGTGCTGGGATTATAGACTGAGCCACTGTGCCCAGCCAGCATACAACTCTTAAAATCCTTGGAACCTCCAGATGATAAAAATGTCTTTTGTAGTTAGGCTCGGTGGCTCAGCCTGTAATCCCGTGCTTTGGGAGGCTGAGGTGAGTGGATTGTCTGA